AAAATAGTAACATGATCACTAAGAGTAACTAGAAAATGTTTTAGGGCATGGACCCATGGTTGTTTATTCCAAAAGTACCCCTAAAGTGAGTGAAAAATATTCAAGGGTATGGATCTATTATTGTTCATTCTAAAAGTACCCATAACACTTTTTATATAGAAAACAAAATTTATCAATAGAGTGGTTGTCCATGTTTTGCTAGGGACAAAAATGACATTTTTGTTTTTAATTTCTTTTGATTAAATTTATTTGAATGGATATTAGGGTTAAAATTGTCATTTTTTATTTTCATCTAATGGAAGGTCAATTAAAGTAAAGGGAAAATTCCCAATTAGTACCTTGTACTTTGGGCCTAGTGCCACTTTGGTCCACAAACTTTAAAATGCGACAATTCAGTACCCACACTTTTAAAACGTAACAATTCARTACCTGTCATTAACTAGTTGTTAACCAACCGTTAAGTGGCATTTGAAAAAGACACAAAATGCCCTTCGAGTCTCATTTAATTTTCTGTATCAACCATTCAAACATTGATAAAAAAATTAACAGTCTCAAATCCTTGCCTCTTCTATTTAAGAAAGTTGGGGTCACCAGAATGCCCACTCAAACGTGATCCCAACTTTCTTGAATGGAAGAGGCTGGTGACCCCAACTTTCTTAAATAGAAGAGGCAAGGATTTGGGACTATTAATTTTTTGTCAACATTTAGATAGTTGATAAAGAAAATTAAATGACAATTGAAGGGCATTTGTATCTTTTTTAAATGTCAGTTAACGACAGGTTAACATTTGATTAATGGTAGGTATTAGATTGTCACATTTTGAAAGTTTGGGTAGTGAATTGGCAATAGATCCAAAGTACATGGTACTAATCGAGAATTTTCCCTTAAGTAAATTGATTGCAAACTATAAGGGATGCRTTAATTAAACACAAACTATTGGGTAGGTTTTAGTAAACTAATGAAACTATAGGGGTGTTTTAATAAATGACCCTTGTTTGAATTAAGACCAACTAATATCCTACTTCAATGGAATTAATTAGCAAGCCGACAATTAGACCTAGTGAACAGTTGACCCAACCTATGAACCAGACCACCTGAAAAAGGGGAGAATGACGGTTCAGCCCAGGGTTAGAATTCATAGGCACAAAGTACAGTTGGGGTTGGTGCCAATTTACGGGCGGTATGGGTGCATAGAGTGTGGTTTTTTGACCTTTTAAATGTTTATAGATTTGTAGTGAAAAACAGAAATCTGCATTAGACCAGTCCTTACTTTTCTTCTGAAAAAGTGGGTTAAGGTTTCCTATGTAGTGACCCAAGTTAGAAGCTGACCTCGATTCGACTCAACCCATCCTAACCTCAAAAATTCAAGTCGGGTCATGGGTCACCTATCCGTACCAACATTTTTAAACCAATGTTGACTCAGATAAATAGTTAAACTGTTCAAACCATTTGATCGGATGACTAAATTAATATTTTGATAAAAAATCGTTGACTTGATCAAAAATTAGTTAAACTTTATGGTTGAATCATTAACTCATCTAACCCCATGGGTCAATCCTAACCTGAATAGTTAATGTCAAGGTTTAGTCTTTGCTGACCCAGCTTGAAAGCTAACCTGACCTGAATGACCCAAAAATGCGTTAACCCGACTCAACCTAACCTGATTGCTACGTCTATTGCCGATGGGCCCGTATATAAAAGAAAAGGAAGACAATCATTTCTTTGTATCTTAGTTTCACCCTAATATTCAAATTCTTAAGAAAGATTAGATCATTATTATAGCCCTACTATTTAAAATAGATCAATGACATAGAATAGAGCAAATGAATTATATTAGCACTTCAAGAAGCATTAGGGGTGTTCCTAGAAAACGAAAAGCTGAACCTAAAAATCTGATTAATCGAACCAATTTGTTCGATTTTCAATTAATCTAAAAAAAATCGATGGCTAATTAAATTGACCGATATATATATATATATATATTTTTTTTTTATATTTATAATATATTATATATTTATTTATAAAATATATATTATAAATATAAAAAACCGAAAAATCGAAGAATAAACCCGATTAAAAACCAAAACTAATCAACCGATTGATTCAGTTTGGGGATTTCGAAAGATCGATAGATCAATTCAGTTTCAAAAAATATCTCACGGTTTAGCTAATCAACCATGAACACACCCCTAATAATCACAAGAAAATATACATACAACCCATATCTTCTTCACCAAAATCGGCCATTAATTACAATGTTCATTGTGATCAAAGAGAGTGAAATGACTCAAATCCCTCTATCTTTCCATCATTACAAATTAAACTTTATAATTTATCCTCATATTTTGTACTAATCCAATCCACGAAATATTTATTAACAAATATAGTGTCGGTGGCATCGGCCAACAAATATAAGGGGTATTCAGTTGACAATTTCAATTTTGAGTGGTACTCTTGAAAAAAGCTGAGCATCACTTGTCTTCTTAAAAATAGAAAACGACGACCCATTTCAAATCAGGATAGCATTCTAAGATTTTCCAATTTTTGCATCATGTCACACGAGCATCTTGTGGGACAAAGCCTTGGTTTTGTGCTTTGAAAGCTACTTTTTTTTTTCTAGATTTGGATTTTTCTTTTCTAAGGGAGGGCAACCTCACTTATAGCTCTAATTTCTAAACCATGTAAAAACAAAATGAACAATCCATCAAACACCACCTAAACTGAATACCATTTTAGGCCACACATAGCGAAAACTAGTTGTTCATTTTTGTCTTCCAAAATAGATCGGACATGTTATTTTAGCAATAGCCTCATATAGGGGTGTCAATTGGACTGGATTTGGTCCAATCCGATCCAGTCCAATGTGAGTTCATTATAAATGGATCAGGTCCAATCCAATCCAATGAATGTTTTGGACCGGTTCAATTCAATGTCTGGATTGTTCAATCTATTTAAATTCATTTTGAATTGGGTTGGTTTCAATCAAGGTTCTAAATATTGACATGGGCTGATATCCGTGTCGGTGTATTTTTTTAGTTTTATTTATTTATTTTTTAAATCGGTTCAGAGGGGTYGGTTTAAGCCCCAGYTACCCTTTAAACTGATGGCTGACCTGATACAACCCCTGAAGGGGCATATCAGTAAGCCATCGGTATGATACATATCAGCTGATATGGGTTGATACGTATCGATACTTTAAACCTTAGTTTCAACCCAAACCTGATCTATTGACACATATATTCTTATCTTATATCAATGGACTAGATATTGGCTTAATCCAACCCAATCCAACATAAATTTATTATGGACGGACTAGGTCCAATTCAATCTAATAAATATTTTGGATGAAATTGGTCCAATCCAACATGTCTTGTTGGACCATCCAATCCATCCAAATTGACTTTGGACTAGATGGGATCCGATCCAAAACCGGTCCATTGACACCCTTAGCCTCACGTCTCTATTTTTACAACTTACGCAGTGTTTGGAATTGTGGTGTGCATAATTTAGGGAATTTGTTTTACATTAGATTATGTGCATGGTGAGGATATTAGTCAGTTCACATTTCCAGTTCCAAGCTGACTTGACCATCGGAGGTTCCCCGGAGACCTTTAAAGGTCTCAAATGGAATCTTGTGGTTGCAGGTCACCTGAGTATGAGTAGTGTTCTAGATTTTTCCTCGTCACATAATTGGGCATAATTAGAAATCAAAGTTCAAAGTTTGGTGGTACATTGTATTAAGGCTAGGCCTGTCAAGAAACTTAAAAAATTCACAGTTCGATTCGACATTTGATCAGATTATTTCGGATTTGGATGATGAAATTATATAATTGSATTGAATCCAAATTTTGCAACTTAGATTCGATTAATAATTAAATTATATTCGAATTTGACTTCATTTCATCTGATTAAAATCTAAATTCAATTATATTATAATATTTATTGATTTTAATATATAAAATTTATATAATTATAAATATATTTTTTATATATTATATTATGTATGAATTAATATATATATATATATATATAACTTTAATATGCTATATTTATATTAATTTACAATATATAAAAATTGAAAAATAATTAACTTTTTAATTTTTTATGTTTTAAAAAATTAAAGCGAAGTAAATTAAATTCAAATCCAATCATATTGAATCGGATGGATACAATTTTTCCGTAATGAGGTTGAATTCGGATTTTGCTGAATTTGATCCGATTCATTTACAGCCCTAGCTAGCTAGTTAAGACCGACCGCCCCTGTATAATTTTGAAAAAGAAAAACTAAAAACAATGGTATCGTTTTTAACCCGCCGATATGCACGTTCCGGCGTATCGGGTGCATCAGAGTATTGAATCTTGTTAGAAATCTGTTGTCAACGTCAACGGAGASCATTGCACTAATTCCCAAACAAAGAAAAAAAGAAGACGACGGCACAGAAAACAGAAAACAGAAAACAATCAAAATGGCAAACACGCCCTTGATCGTTTCCCTTCGTCCTGGAGCCTGGAGGTGGGCAGGTAGGATTCCAGTTATCCCAACACAGGGGTAGGGATATGCTACCAATACTGTTCCAATAGCTACTGCCGCTGCAAATTGGGAACATCTAGATGTTCCTTGTGTACGACTGTATGGTGGTTGGGACGTTGTTGGGAGCGTTTATTGGTAGTAGATGATCTGAATTCACTCCTATATTTTAGTTTCGAGACGTGAAATCTGACGTGTGCCCTAAGAAACAGCAAGTCAACAGTCGACGTGGCAAGAGCCCCTCGTATTACAGCTACTACTAAAAATGGATAAAAAATGATTAAGAAATCCTAAGACTCGCATACAGTCCTTTCCACTCTGAGCGAGGGCACTTTAGTCAAAATATTCAGATGACGTCACACCAATCTACTTTCATCAATTGGCATGGCAATTCCGTAATTAGACCAAAAGACAGAGCCCTTTATATCAACGGGATAAATAAATGGGGCAACTTCTTATTGGCTGGAGCTTTCTCTCAACGAAACAGAAAACTAATCAGAGAAAAGGAGAAAAAGAAGAAAAAACCAAAGTTCTTCTTGTTCTCCCTCCTCGCCATCCTTCCTCCATCAATCCATCCATCTCCCTCTCTAGCTAGCTTTGCTCGGCATTCTCTGGTTAGAGGAGATCAGAGATTTCTCTCTCTCTCGCTCTATTTTTTCTTTGGAGGTTGTAGATTCTGTCGTTTTATCTTCATCTGATGTTTAATTAGAGTTCTTTGAAACTGCTTTAATGGCGAATGGACGGAAATGTGGAGGGTTTTTAATTTAAGTGGAAGCAATTAGTATCTTTAGTTGTTCTGGTGTTGGATCCACCTGAAGTAGTTGAARTCTTAATTTCGTTGAAGTATTTGGAGTTTTGCGATTGGTGCTGATGGGAAAGTAGTGGAAGAATAAGAGGTGGGAGTGGTGTTGGAATTGGAATTTCAGTAGTTTTTGTTGCTTTTTTCTTAATGATCTAGGGTTTAGCTGTTGCTTTTTTTTTTCACTTATTAGATTCTGATTTGATCTGCTCTAGAGTCTAGACTTCAAGGTTGGAATAACTGGTTGGACTGTAGTGTGTTCGTGTGTGGAAGAGAGATACCGGAATTTCTGCGGTAGCGGTGAAAGATGATGTTTGGTGGTTCTGAAGCATTAACAAAGGACATGAATCTTTTATTTCCTTCTCCCTTCAAGAATTCGGAGGAACTTCAGTCGAAGAGCAGAGAAGTCATGAATTCAGATCTCCACCTTCATCATCATCATCAGCAGCATGCGAGGCAGTCGCAGCAACAGCAACTGGGCTCTGGTCTGATGCGGCTTCGCTCTGCTCCGAGTTCATTGCTTGCGAATTTTATTGACGGTAGCAGCGGTAACGTCGAAGATGGATGCGAGGATTTCCTCCATCCTCGATCTTCGAGCCCGGAAGCAGAGAGCATGTTTGCGAGGTTCATGTCTTCTGGTGGTAGTGGTAGCGGTGGTGATTCTTCTCTTCCTGATCCCCGGGAGATCGGGGAGAAACCTTCAGCATTATCTCCATCCACCGGAGCTATTAACCATAGAAATTCTCAGCTGGCACCAACGGAGCGTGAAGGCAAGGTTGTTCCGCAGCATAACGGATATTCATCTCTTTCCCACATGATGTACCAGTCTCAGACCCAGCCACCTCTGCCGAGCCACAGTTCAGCTACGACTACAACCGATGTGGACAGCTCGTATAGGGTGATGAATTCTATGACCATGGATCACCCTACACAGGTGAAAACAGCTGGCGGCAATCTTATCAGGCACAGTAGCTCTCCGGCTGGGCTTTTCTCCCACTTAACTGCCGAAAATGGTATGGTTCTTTGCGAATTATTCGTGATTCAATAATGACTCCTCTGATTATTTTCTGAAAATTTCGAGACTTCTCTTTACTTGTCTTCTCTGCCGCGGTAGAAGAACAAATCGGTGAAGTTTTTATTTTAATCATGCCTTATCATTTCTTAAAATTTTAGCTTTTTTTTTTTTCTGACAAAGCAAATGTTTGCTAAACTAGTGTAGAGATCAACAGAAAGAATGGTGGCAGAGAATTATCTTAGAAGTTGTATTATATAAAGAAGATCTCCAGTTTTTTTTTTTTTTCAATCGATTAAATTATATATCCCTGTGATGTCGAAGTTTTCAGGAGAAAATGCTCCTTAACTTGGACAAAAATTATTAGTCTATCATGATTRTTTACTCAAGGATGTATACTGAAAACTTCTTAGCAAAAAAAGCAGGCTATGCTGTAATGAGGGGCATGGGAAATTTCCATGCCGGGAATGGCACTAATGGGGAGGCGGCTTCAACAACTAGCAGGTTGAAGCGTCAGATAAGCTTCTCGTCTGGGAACCCTGATGATGGCAGTTTTGGAAGCGGTAACGCTGGCAACAGAGGTTACATCCAAGGCTTTCCTGTTGGTTCTTGGGAAGACTCTGCACTTGTCTCAGAGAATGTAACAGGCCTAAAAAGAATACGAGATACCAATGGTGGCAATCAGGTAGCATTTGCAGATTGGGTGCATTTCTGTTTCTTGGGTGTTTCACCTTTTTTTGTCTAAACTGAGCAATAACAGTAATATTCCTTTTGATCAGAATGGAGAAGCTGGGAGCCGCCCTCCTATGTTGGCCCACCATTTTAGTTTACCCAAAACTTCAGTTGAGATGGCTGCCATGGAAAAGTTTCTGCAATTCCAAGATGCTGTTCCTTGTAAAATTCGAGCCAAGAGGGGTTGCGCTACTCACCCACGAAGCATTGCAGAGAGGGTAATGCTTATCTACACCTGAAGATTACATTGGATTATGGGTTCTTAGAATGTGAAATAATTCCCCTTCATTTTTGCTGATTGATAAATACTATTTTCATTCAAAAACAATTACATATGGGTGCAGTCTAATCCATAACCTCTTCGCAGACTAAAGTTGTCTGGATTGAATTGTTTTCAGGTAAGAAGAACCCGGATTAGTGAAAGAATGAGGAAACTACAGGAGCTGGTCCCCAATATGGACAAGGTATACCTCTTCACATGCATTTGTTTCTCAAATATTAACCTAAGGGACTCAAGATTTTTTTTCTTTCTTTTTTTCTTGACAGCAAACCAATACAGCTGATATGTTAGATTTGGCAGTTGAATACATTAAAGATCTCCAGAAACAGGTCAAGGTAATAAAGAAGGAAAACAACAATAGTTCCAAGGACCCTCCATATATTTTGGTCTTACCTTGACAAATTTTCTTCTCTTTATTACAGACACTCAATGATAATCGTGCCAACTGTACCTGTTCAAGCAAACAGAAGTCATACTCGAACCCTACAGTGTGACTTGTTTTTGTACAGAAATGAAATAAAGGAAAAAGGATGGAAAAGGAGATAAATAGCAGAGCAGAAGCACTTAAATCCTTTTATCATACCTAGTTTGTGTATGTGTACAAGAAGAAAAAGTTTGAACAGCTGCAGCACTTAAATGGCTTCTACTTCCTACCTAGTTTGTGTATGCATGGAAGAAAGAAAGCCTTGGACGAATGAAGCACTTAAAATGACTTGTTCTACCTAGTTTTATTTTTGACATGCACTGGCAAGTAGGTGCTTCTAAAACTTCCACGAGGTCTTGTATTTTTAGATTTTTAAACAAACTCTTTCTCCAACTTCCCTTTTCTGGAAGATGAAAAAATTATTCTTTGACTTAATTGACACTGTAATACCTAAGGTCTACCTTGTAAGTTTCATCATACTGATCTTATCCAATGCTTTTTGGAGTTTGGTCATGGGCCTCTGGGCAGAAACGAATACAGAATCTCATGCTTAAACTTTTTTTTTTTTTCTGAAATATCAAATTTTATATGGGAGTGGGACAAAATTGGATTGCCCTAAATCTTGAAATTGCTCAGATCAAAAATAAAATATCAAGAAAGGAAGTTCATAAAAAATTTCTCAATAAACTTGCTAGCTAAATGGATGTTAGTCTCCAGATTATTAGTTTGAGTCATCATTAAAGACTTTCTTCAGCGTAATTGTCTAATTCAGATTATTCCTTGGACTGTGTGAGTTTTCTCGTCTTTTCATGAATAAATTCATTTTGGTTACCCATCAAAAAATAAGTTAATAATTCAYTCTGGTCGTGTTTGTGATTAAAAATGATTAAGATTTTTTCTTGCACTGGCCTGTGCCACTTTGATATTCATATGCAATAATCTCTTCCAAATGAGACAAAACCCAAATCAACAGGTTAGGCACTATTTCCTTGCATGGCTGCACATTTTTACAGCCATATGTTTCATAGCTGAAATTTAATATTCTGTAAACCTGTTTATTTTATTAAGGATCTTGGGGAAGTAATTCTATTTCAGATACAATTAACAGTGTATTTGATATCGATTCCTTTTTCATGGTAGATCATATGCCTTAATTTAGGTGATGGCTAGCTCTGTCAAGATAGGCTTCTATTTCTTATTTTCTTTAAGGTAACAAGTAACATGATTTTAAAAGTATGATGCTCATTTAGGTAACCCCTCACGGCCATGGATCCAGTGCACCAGCATCTAATTTTAGAACCAGAGACTGGATACCTTGACTGTGACATTGACCTAAACAATAACATTCCATTTGGACACAGAATTGTGGTGGTGTATGGCAATCTTTGTTAGTGCAATTATCATGTTCTCTTGTCTATATTGTTGCTACAAGGATGCCTTCCAATTCTGCAATTCAGTTCTTTGCTCCTCTTGGGTTTTATGTCTTCTTTCTTCTTAGCCTGAGGAAGAAGGGAACAAGACATTCTTGAAGGTTTCTTGTCTCATTAAGGCAGCTTTATGTCTTAAGTCTATTGGTTTTGGTGGAAAGAGTTGTTCAATGAAGGAACTGGAAATTGTGGCATGGCAACTACAAGAATAATTTGCTTTCCCGTTGTTGAAGTTAAAGTTATTGGTATTAATCAGTTCTTTAAGTGACATGCAGCTCCACCTTCCCCAGATGGCTAGGACCAAAATTGGGTAATGACCTTTGAAGCTATTAGTTTGCTTGATGGATGTTCACTACAGGTTTGTATTTAACCATTATATGTGTTTGGGGGAATGCTTTGCTACCCCCAATGATCTTACCTTTTATTTTTGTTAATTTTCATAATTAATGGGTTCTGTTATATGGTTCTGCACATCTTTTTTTTTGGAATAATCAATAGATATTAACAAGCTACAGATGGATAGAGAAATGGATGCATATTCATTAAGGCTGTAACATCAAAGTATGTTCAATAATTCATGAAAAAAGTGAACTCTTCAAATCCTCATTTATAGACAGCATCTTCTCTTTTCTGGATCTGTCCCAAGCATTCAATCTGATGCCAAGAGGAGGGGCTTCTCATCTTGTGTTTTTCATTTAGTATTTCAACTTTGCCATGGAAATTGCAGATGTTCATATACTTAGTTTCTGCCTACCTCACTTTGAATTTTATTGATAACATCTGATTCCTTTTAAGTTTAGCCAGTTCAAGCTCTTCAGCTTCTAGAGCTTCAAGTTCTTAAAGGCCCCATCAGCAACATGTAAATTATCAAATTCCAGCATCAGCTTCATATGAGGCCAATGAGGACACACAAGATCACCTGTGACATCAATTAAATTAGCTTAAATGGGAAGAATTCCTTATGGTATGTTTTGCTTCTCTTAAAATTTTGAGTATCCCAGCATTTACTCTTGGATTTTTCTGTCTACATAGGTGTTATCAATGTCATGAGGCAATGGCCAGTTTTTTTAGCTTCCATAGGTGTTGTGGTTATTAGTGCTGATTAGTGGATTACCTAAAAAAAGATCTAAATTTATGATATTGATGTGATTCCATGTATGAATTAATGCAGGCTATAGGTGTGCAAATGGGGATATGGTGCAGAACATCTATTATACTCTTAACTCTACAAACATAAAAAATAATGGCTGGATAGGCCAAGATGGAGAATTATAACCTTTGTATTTTAAGAGAGTACCGCCTTTTTTTCAAGGGGGGGGGGTACTAAAGAGAGAGTGCAACATTCTCTATCTGTTGATAAATCTGTTTAAACCTTAGATTGGAGGAAAAATTAAAGAACCTCTCCACTTTTTATATAATAATATTTTATTTAATTATTTTATGCCTTGTTTCCATTGTAATATACCATCACCCACATTCCACAACTAACACTTGAATAAATTAGCCGATTTGGACAAGATTCTGAGCACAGTTAGACGATTCAGGAATTGGAAAAAACACTAAATGGCTCAGGTTTTGAAAGTTTTTGTCAAATTAAAAGGGGGTTTATTTGGGGTTGGGCCTAGAAGGTCAAGAAAGCAAAGGAAGTTTTTAAGACTAGTGTGGCCACTGTTCAAGTCACTGGAAAAGAGAAGGGACAGAGTAGAGTGTTGGGCGAGGAGTAATTCACAATTTTCTACGGTGTCCTAATCAATAGTCAATGCTAAGTTGCCTTGGGTGGCTGCATCATGGGTTTTGACTGATTATTTAATGATGCAGTTGGTGTCTCTCAACTGGTTGGTTGACTAGTCATTGAGATGTTGACATTTTGATTAAAATTCCTTGGCTAAACAAGGCTTTTATCAGGCTTAAAAGTGTTTTCCTCCTTTGCTCTCTTTTCTCTTTTCTTATCACTTCTGTTATGGTCTTGACAAAGTCCTACGTTTGTTTCTTCTTTTTTCCTGGTTTCAGAACACTTTTTTAGCTCCCCCTCTCCCCCTACATAAGGGAAAAGGAAGGAAGAAAAAAAACAAAAGATAGAGAAGTTGTGACAGAATGTTCATCTCCTTGGGTTTTGACTTTCATACGAGTCTCTCACTGCTCATGAATATGTCTTCTCTATTGAGGGTTTTAGATTGGAGTTAAGTTATATAATATCAATATTCCATATGATTTCTCCTTGCAGGTGAATTGAGTACTCCGGCTGCTGTGGATCTTGTAGTATTGATGGAATTCTATATGAAGAAGACTGCACAGGAGTGAAGGGGGCAACCTAAACAGTCAATGGATAAAATGTCTCCACGTTTCTCTTCAAGGTATAGATATAATATACATTTTTTATTTACAATATCTTGTGAGCTGTACAGGAGAAAAAATATTTAATGTGCCTTTTTAGTTCTGGAAAACTACATTTTTTATGCTTGTTTACAGTCTTTGTTAATTTTCTTTGACTATAAGCTCTTGTCCCTGTTGTTTTTGTGGACAAAATCACTGTTTCTGAGGCATTTCTTCACATGTTCATAATGGCAGCTCTAGTTAAAAATGACCAGTACATTGGTGATAAATGTACCAACAGAAGAACTGAAAAAAGTTTTTTTTCCCTTGCTCATTCCCTTCTGTGAGTCTGCCTCAAACTAATATTCGAACTCTGTCTGCAACTTGGGAAAAAATAAATTAAAAAAAAAGCTCCATATGAGACTGCAACTTGATTGATACCAAAGCTGATGACATGGCTTGGTGGTGGTTTGATGTAGGTGTAAAAGATCTAAATATGGGATTTACCTATTTTTTATCTATTCATGGATGGTGGAGTTCTTTTAACTTTTAGTAGCTATTTTCTGATTATGAGTCATTAGTTTCTTTTTTGACAAGTAACAAGTAAATAAATAAATTCCTAATCTTTGTAATATTAATAGTTGGGATTTACCTATTTTTTATCTATTCATGGATGGTGGAGTTCTTTTAATTTTTAGTAGCTGTTTTTCTGATTATTTGAGTCATTAGTTTTTTTTTTTGACAAGTAACAAATAAATAAATAAATTCCTAATCTTTGCAACATTAATAGTTGGGCTTCGTAATTAGGTCAGGAGTTTAGCAAGTCAGAATTCTATTAGTAAAACAGAGTTGTAGTCATGAAGTGGGATTGCCTTATTCCTAGTCCCAAGTCAACTAGGATTTGTCTCAAGTTGAAGCCCTAGTCCTTAGCCAATTAGGTTTTATTGGGGTCTCAGTTGTGTTTCTTAGTTAGGTAGGAAAACAAGGGAAAAAGGGCTCGCCAACATCCCTCTCTATCCTTCTCTCTTTTAGACATTATATGTTAAATTCTGTTGTTTCCTTGGAGAAACTATTAGGTTCTGATTCATAGTAGTATCTCTACATCTGAGTCGTAGAGAAGCCTAGGGCTAATTATTATGTTATATTTTCTTTCCTTTTTACATATCTCCTCATGTACTCTCTATTTTATCTAATAAATTTCCGTTACCTTTTCTCAAAAAAAAAAAAAAAAACTTTCGTTTTTCTTATTTTTCAGGTCTGCATCATGGTTCAGCATGACCTGAACAACATCCCTCTTGTGAGCTTCATGTAACTTCTTTCAGCCATGGCCTAACTATGCCTGAATGTTGATTACTTGATTTGAATGTTCAAAAACAGCACTAATTGTAGACTTGCAGATGGGCCTATTACCTCTTCTTGCCCGTGGAAATGCAGCCCTAAGCAGCCTTGATAATATTGTACCAGGCATCGTATGAGGCCACAATGGTGTAAATGGAGCAAATTTGAAGTGAATCAGATCATTATTTGAATTTGAATCCAATTAAGGAAATGATTATTCGACTTCGATTTGATATCTGATAGATCATTAGAAAGGCCAACTGAACTCGAATTCCATTGAATGATCAAGTATTCAATTAGCTGATAAAAAAATCAAATATTTGAATTTGATTCCCATTCAACTAATTAATTCAAGGCAAAATTGATGGTGCAATCCATGGAAATTGCTATTACACAAATTAAATGTGAGCAAATCAGTGATAAAGTGACCATCATGGTGATATCTATAAACTTGTTAAAGTCTTTAATGGTAAATATACATTGTGAAATATGAAAGTAAATCTTGTACACTGTGAATCAATGAAAAGTAAATAAAATATGAAAATTTAGTTTAATGTGCACCAAATATTTAAAATGCAATATTGTTGAATCTTTTTCAATATTCAAATCAAAGTTGGATTTAGTTGAATTGTTTTACCGTCATACTCTTTTATCAAATAAATAAATTTCTTGGGATATAATTTTATTAGAGAAAAATGAAGGGCATTTAGGTAATTTCATATATGCATGATAATGCTATAATCGATTCAGACGTTTATTGGAATAAATCAGGCTATATTTGAACTTGATCCAATGAATGAAATAGTGCAAAGTTAATATATGCATGTGGAGCAAGAATGTGAGCCACCTTGTTGCATTGTCTAGGGCAAAACCATGGTTTTCAAAACTGGACCGGATTGGACGGTTGGACTAGAAAAACTGGGAATCGGTCACCTGATCGGTTCTATTTTTTCCCAAAACATTTTGATCAACAAACCACTGAACCGGCTGATTAATCATTTGAACCATTTGAACCGTTTGAACGGTTTTGACTATTTTTTAATTTTTTGTCAGAATGAGCTGACCGTTTGAATCGATAACTGGACCCCTGACCGGTTCAGTTTTAAAAACCATGGGAAACATCACTGAGCTATGGGAGATATTAGACAGCATGTCTCTGCAATCAGAGAGGATGGCCATAATCCTCCAAGAGCCTTATAAGTGGACACCAACAGACAACGAATAACAATCTGAGAATCTCCCTCTATCAAAACATGATCAAGCTTTAACAAGAAATCAATTTCAGCACTTTACCAAGTGCTAAAGCTTCACTTTCAACTGGAGAGGAAAAGACGTAGCAGCAACCATTACACCATTGTGATCTCAGATAGGGGTGAGCATTATCTGGTTAAAATAAAAAATTGAATAAAAAATTTTAGTTTTGATTTTTCTGGTTTTTGGTTATTTTGGTTTTGGTTTTAATTTTCAGGTTTAGAGTCGAAAAAACTGAATTAGCCGAACTTTATTATCTATAGTATGTATTAACATATAATACATATATAATATGTACAAAATATATTATATTGTATTATAAAATATATAATTTATTATATACATTGTATAATATATATTAAAATATACACTATAGTATATATTAAAATATATAGTATTGAAATTCGGTTTTAACCAAAATAACCAAAAATGAAATAAAAAATTTCGATTTCGGTTTTAGTTCAGTTTTTCATGTAAAATTTTAGTTTATTCAATTCAATTCAATTTCGATTTACTTTACGCCATCTGTTAGGGGGTTGGTCCAACTTTGACTATCAGTGAGATAGGTGCGATGGGCGTGGAGGTCTCTAATTTGATAGAAAATTCAGGTAATGCAAAGAAGCTTGAATGGTAAGTAAAATCCGATATGGATCAAAAGTGCACCCCTCCATTACCAATTCTTGTTTAATTTTTCTTTAGGTTTGATTTGTCTTGTTTATTTGTGACTTGAGAGGAGCAAAATGAGAAGTAAACAATGTGGTCCTCATTTTATGCGAACGTGAAGGTAGAAAGAAGGTTTTTGTTTTTTTTTTTTTTTGATAGATAAAGTAGAAAGAAGGTTATCTATTACTATTTTGGAGGAATAAAATAGGTGGTAAGACAATATTGTACCCGCTTTATATGAGAAAGAAGTTAGGAGAAGGGATGCAAAATTTGTACTGCTAGTGAGTGCAAATGCTATAAGAGGTGCAGATATTGCACCAGATAGGATTTCAAATCATGATTACAAACAAGAGCTCAGATCTCCTATCCACATGTAAGGGTGGAAACAAATTAAGCTTTTCACAAATTATTTGAGTTCGGCTCGTGAAGGTTTTGCGTTTTCATGTGCTGGAAGGGTTTGGTTTCTCATAATCCAACTCACTATGGGTTTTGGAGTGGGTATAAATTGGGAGGTTTAAGGAGGCATGTAGGGTCTAGAATTTACAAAATCCTCCCTGAACCCACTCTATTACCATCCCTAAAAAGGAACAAATCAATCAATAGTAGCCAAGAAACTTACTCTATTTTTAATGAAAAAATCTATGAAACCAGAAAGACATGGTGCCAGAAGATCTTTGAACAATCAAATCCCACTGTGAATTTTGATAAATACCATTTGATTGGTTAATAGTTTTATGATACCAGTTGATTGCTCATAAGTTTTTCAGATATGATGTCTTTTCGGTATCATAGTTGAAGCCATTTTTAACAAGTAAAAAAAAATCTAACAAGCAACTTGAAAGAATGCTAGTTATGAGAAATCTTTATTAGTGAATCAACAGTTTACATGAAAAAATGAGAATAGTACATAAAATGAATTGAAATTATCTGTTTCTCAAGAGAAAGTAAAACAAACAAACAATGTTGCCCCAAATATACCATTTTTTGTCTAAGATAGAGGGGCTGTGAACCGCCCTGGTCATCTTGACAAATATGAACCAATCCTATCCTGTTGCATTTGGTTTGTATCTATCTTATACGCTTAGTTTGGAAAGAGTACAAATACAAATACATATAGAATAATACAAAATATAAGGTTTTGCACTCTACATATTTGTATTTGTACTTATTCCAAACTAAGCTAGTTCCAATTAGGGGTGAGCATGGGCCAATTGGGTTTGGTTCCATGGCAGAGCCAGTAACCTATCCTGCAGGGGTTGGTTATAGGTTTTTCGAACCGAAACTACCCTGTAAAGATCGGTTCTGGCCTTGGTGGTTCTGGGTCGGTTTCAGGGCCTACCCATGGAACCTGTTCTTTCTTTACTCTCCCTTCAAAGAAAAAAARATAATAATAAAGCATGTTCTGTTGTTCTTTAAAAACTTAATTTTTAATAAATATAATATATAGTTTAAAGCTTATGTCATCTTTATTGGTTAAATTGAGTAATTAAATATGTAGATTATCATTATATGGTTCAAAACTTATAATTTAAATTTAAATTTTGTAAATGTCACCTTTGACATTATTTGTTGTACACATTCAAATATTAAAATGAAAATTGTGAACATGGCCTTTGTAACCATGAGTGCTTGGGTTCAAATCTTTACATCACCAAAAGTATTTTGGGGTTTATTTCAAGACAAGCTTGATTCCAAGGTAGGCTCCACCAAGGGCAACCAAGGTCGGTTCATCAGGTTGGTTTGGGTAGAGTAAACCCCTAACCCTGGAACCGGCTTGGGTGGGGGTYGGTTCTAAGAATTTGGAAGCAGAACCTACCTTGTAACAGATTGGGTAGGGTTAATTCAAGACCGATTCAATGTCGAGTCTATTTGGTTCCAGGTATAACCTACCCATTTACTTATCCCTAGTCCTAATTATTAATAGGGCCAGAATTGGGCCTATTTGAACAGACCCGATTAAGAACCAACATGTCTAATTTCGTAAGAAATGTCTAAAATTGATATTTGATGAGAGATCTATAAGACATTTTGAGAAAAGAAGGCAAGAGAAATAGCGAATTTATTGTCAATTTACAAAGGCGTGTTATTGAGTCTGGTCAGATTAGACCTTATAAGCCCAACTAGTAATGGGGTCGGTTCTGGGCTCGAACTGGGCCTGAATGTTTTCTTATCACGTCGGGACGGGTATACAGCCCATTGACAGCCCTATACAGCAAGCAAAACAAGGTTTGATCTTTGATGAGCTTTTACTTGGAAAATTATTTATGATAAAAACCATTCCTTTGTAGTATGGATTATAAGGTGTTAGTTTGTAGAACTTCAGTTATTTTTCTTGTCATTTTTTTATAGACAAAACTTTTTGTTTTTTCACCCTGCTTTACATGGAAACTAATGGAGTCAAAGAAGGAAATTTCAGCTGAGATCTTAATGAGGGATGGAGGATGTAAAGACCATTTGATTGTGAGAACGCATGAAGACCGAAACCAGATTCAGAAGGTACATCCTTGTGAGCATACTGAGATGGTCTTTGATATTGTGCAAGGTTCAAATTATCACAACCTATGAGTGCGTGTCATATAATATGTATCGATCTAACATGGATGGAAGGGGGGCAACCATGGGGTAGGGGTGTCAATTGGATTAGATTTGGTCCAATYCGTACTATGTGAGTCCATTACAAATGGATCAGGTCCAATCAATCCAATGAATATTTTGAACCATTTTGGACTGATCTAATTTGATGTTTAGACTGGACCATCCAATTTGTTCAAATTCATTTTAACTTAGATTGGTTTCAATCCAAACCCGGTCCATTGACACTTATATATTCTTATCTTATATGAATGGACCAGATATTGGCTCAATCCAACTCAATCCAATATAAGGGTCTCTTTGGTTTGTAGTCAAAATCGGAATTGGAATCGAAATCGAAATAGTCCATTCCCATAGTCTGTTTGGTTCAGACAGGAATGTGAATAGGAATTAAAATCAACAGGAATGGGATTTCATTCCCAAGGGAGGGGCAGGGAATGGCCATTCCCTCAAATGGGGTAATGCCATTCTAGCAGGAATAGGAATGGGATTTCGATTCTGCCCAACCGAACAGTTGACCCATTCCGATTCCGATTCTAGACCCCTATTCCTGCAAACCAAACAGACCCTAAATTCATTACGGGCAGACTAGGTCATTCAATCCAATAAATACTTTGGACCATTGAGTCTAAATTGGTCTAATTCAATATGTCATGTTGGTCCGTCCAGTCCATCCAAACTAATTGTGGTTTGGACGAGATCCAATCCAAAACTGGT